AATGTTCGCACTGCAGTAGTAGTGACGATTTATCCAGACTGGCCTATGATAAACTATATCACAGCCTTGTATTCTGAGCAATGATTTATGTGCTTTTCTCATACAGAATGTGTAAGTATTGAATCCTTTTCCATCTACCATATATTACTGTTTCAGTTTCTTTTGTTGAAAGTGTAATAAATTAATTGCCTGTGCTTTAATGTTTAAAAGTACACAGTGTGTTGTCCATATTTGTTTATAAACGTGCCTGTTTTTAAAATCTTGCCTTGCATGTGCCGCTATTTTAATTGTATCCATTTCCATTTCTGAGACGCTGTGTTCGCCTTTCATAGAGTAAAATGTTGGGAATTTAAAGGGACACTATAGTCACCTGAACAACTTTAGCTTAATGAAGCAGTTTTGGTGTATAGAACATGCCCCTGCAGCCTCACTGCTCAATCCTCTGCCATTTAGGAGTTAAATCCCTTTGTTTATGAACCCTAGTCACACCTCCCTGCATGTGACTTGCACAGCCTTCCATCAACACTTCCTGTAAAGAGAGCCCTATTTAGGCTTTCTTTATTGCATGTTCTGTTTAATTAAGATTTTCTGATCCCCTGCTATGTTAATAGCTTGCTAGACCCTGCAAGAGCCTCCTGTATGTAATTAAAGTTCAATTGAGAGATTGAGATACAATTATTTAAGGTAAATTACATCTGTTTGAAAGTGAAACCAGTTTTTTTTTTTCTTGCAGGCTCTGTCAATCATAGCCAGGGGAGGTGTGGCTAGGGCTGCATAAACAAAAACAAAGTGATTTAACTCCTAAATGACGGTGAATTGAGCAGTGAAATTGCAGGGGAATGATCTATAAACTAAAACTGCTTTATTTAGCTAAAGTAATTTAGGTGACTATAGTGTTCCTTTAAGAATTCCACTAAGCTGTAACAAGTTAGATATACAGAAAGCATGATTGACCAGTAAGATCTATATTTCTTTACATCTTGGCAGACTGCCCTTTTAGCCACCTTTTAATCATCGGGTTATTTGTCTGTTTATAACGTGCCGCTGCTATAGATTTCCTATACTGACTTTGCTTTATTACACCATTAACAGGTTTCATGCAAGCCCTGTGTAAGTTACATTGCCATTAGAAATTACTGGATTCTCTCTCCTCGTCAATAGAATGTTTGTTTGTTTTTTAAACTTTTCTCTCCTTAGAGGCCTCAAATGTTTATTTGGAGAGATGTGGGAACCCTTAAAGGACCACTATAGCGCCAGGAAAACATACTCGTTTTCCTGGCACTATAGTGCCCTGAGGGTGCTCCCACCCTCAGGGACCCCCTCCCGCCCGGCTCTGGAAAGGGGAAAGGGGTTTAAACTAACCTTTTTCCAGCGCTGGGCGGGGAGCTCTCTGCCTCCTCTCCTCCTCCGATCCTCCCCGCCGGCTGAATGCGCTCGCGCGGCAAGAGCTGCGCGCGCATTCAGCCGGTCGCATAGGAAAACATTTACAATGCTTTCCTATGGACGCTGGCGTGCTCTCACTGTGAAAATCACAGGGAGAAGCACGCAAGCGCCTCTAGTGGCTGTCAATGAGACAGCCACTAGAGGATTAGGGGGAAGGCTTAACCCATTAATAAACATAGCAGTTTCTCTGAAGCTGCTATATTTATAAAAAAATGGGTTAACCCTAGAAGGACCAGGCACCCTGACCACTTCATTAAGCTGAAGTGGTCTGGGTGCCTAGAGTGGTCCTTTAACTCCTTAAGGACAAATGACAGAAATATTCTGTCACGATTCCCCTTTATTCTAGAAGTTGTGCCCTTAAGGGGTTAAAGGGCATCTTAGGTTCATGCAGAAGCACAGCCAATAGCATTGTTTCTTTATTTTCACAATTTTCTTGAAATCATGCAAACAAAAAAAAATCCCTTTTTATTTTACTCCTTGTCCTAGAACATCTGTTTCTCGTGCGATTCTAATATGTTGTCAAATAAGGCTTCTGTATAAAGAGAGAACCGAGGAGCACAGTATTCTGTGTGCAAAAAGGCCAGTTTGCCCTTGTCCTCCTGGCAATGTGCTTACTCTTGTCCTGTTATTCCTGACTCAGCTTCCTGCCTTCTGATCCAGCCTGTAAATATTAACTAGAATGTGATGTCTGAGGGCGGTATTGATCTGTTTTCTTTGATATCTCCTTAAGGGAAATCTTTCACAGATTATAGCAGGATTCACAACTTAACTTGTAATTCTCACGTCGAATAATTCGGCTTGAAATTTCAACATTTTCAGAGTCCTTCTGTGTAAAACAATACATGCAGGGACGTTAAAGCTTGTTACAAGTATTGAGCTGTAGAACTTCTGATGGTAGTGCGGAATATCGACAGCTTTAAAAAGAGACTTTTAATCCTTATCAAAGCAGGAACAGACAGAACGATTACAGAATAATGCAAGCGAATGAACAGTAAATAATTGATTTTAGGTGTTACTATTATTTGGAGAGGAATTTACTTAGCTAGAAAAGCGGTATAAAAGGGCTAGTTCTGTCTGCTGGTTATGGCTGGGTTTCCGCCTATGAGGAGAGACACTGAGGACAGGCTCTTTACCTGCTCGGCTGTTGTATCATTTAATAGTGTGTGTGGAACTGCATTCATTCCCATAAATCTGAGCCAGGGTGCTTGCTGAACTGGAATCAAACACCAGATTTCCAAAATTAATAAAGTAATAGAGGTCCAGGCACTCCTTGATTTAAGACAGGTACTTTATTAGGAACCACAACAGCAACGTTTCAACCCCAAAAGGTCTTTGTCAAGCTAATACATACATCAATTTTACAATATATATATAACAAACTTTAAACAATCACAATTATAAAATACACTTGTGAATAAGTATCCTAAGCAAGTGGTTTAACAGCTGGAAGTAGTATACTGCTTATCAGCAATACTTAATTAATTACATTAATTAGAAAGAGAATCTAATACTTAGTTGCCAAAAACAAACGAGCTTTGAAAGGCATTAATTTGTTGATACATGAAAAAGAAATTAATATATTTTTATATGGATACTGACATAACCACATCGGCTGTTGCATCATGTCCCTTATAACTAGCAAAACATGATGGGGGTTGTAGGATAGCGACAGTTAAACACCCCTCCTCTGTTGACTTCAGTGAGTAAGTGGATAATCAGTTTCTTCCCATAATTTCCTATTAGAAAGCTGCTGTGTTTTATTTTTTTTTCTCCCCCCCCCCCACCCCTTGGCGAGCGGGGAGGTTTGTGGAGTCTCGTCCTTAGTCTGATTGCTCCAGTCCCTGAATGTGGTATTACATGGTGCAGAGTTATGGCAATTCCATTAGCTATGGACAAAAATAAAGAATTACTAGTGAAATATGCACATTTGCTGCTGAGAACAATGTTCCACCTCCAGGGGAAAACGCAGTAAGATGACAGAGAACTTGAGCAATATAGAGGGAGTTGGTCATCTAGCTTTTAACACTATTCTTCTTCTCCTGCAGCCATCTCAGTTCAGTCTGTCTGCTTACTCATCTCTGCTTCTCTGTATGAGGGTATGTGTGTAAATGGCAGTGTGTGCATGTTTGTATGTTGCTGTCTGTGTGTATGACACATGCGTATGTTTATGTAAAATAATGCGTTGTGTCTGTAAGAATGAAATTGACCAGCACAGCAATGATTTATTGGAAATTCACCATTCTTCTTTATTAGGGGCGTAGGCTACAGATATATAGCATAATACAATATAAATTGTAATCTTTGCTTATTGCAAGAAAATGTCCTGAAGGTTTCCAATAAACTGCAATGGTTATGATGTTCGGCTGGAATTCTGGGAGTTGTAGTCCTGTAAGGGCGGGCCTACTGGAAAGTGATACAGTGGAAACTGCTTTTTGTCTGTATTCAATTCATGATTTTTACAAATCGATTTTTAACTCAATTGTTTGTTTTAATAGAAAATGAAACCTTTTAGCACTGTATGTTCTATGTGAATATACCATTCCATAATTTCAAAATGTCAATATCTGCAGAATTTCTGATCCTGACAGTGGTCTCATAAATCTACGCAAACAATAACCACCAAGGGTGCCCTATGGTTAAATAAAATTTCTGGCTTTACATGAAAAATGTTTAGTGTTAGTAATGTCATTGAAGTACACAAATTGCCCCTGCCTCCTACCCTCCCATACCTGGCAGAATCATTTTTGTTTTACTTGCTTCTATTAATGAAATCTTTAGTGTTAAGGCTGTTTTGGAAACAATTGTAGAGTTGTGTTATTATTGTGCTGTATTTCTAAAGCTGGAAGGTACCATTCAACCACAAGTTTTGTATCGCAAATATTAATTGATGTAAATGCTACTTGTGAGAGTAAACCCGTTTCTGAATGATTAAGGTTGGTAATGGCTCGTGGAGAATCATTTTTTGTTTACCTAAATGTAATTGTTGCTGAATTTGAAATAACATTTTTCATCCTAAAGGGTCAGTATAAGCTATATATTTTTTTTTATTTTTTTTACTAGAATAATAGTTTTCTTGTAGTGAAAGAGGACGCCCTTGTGTGTCACCTTACAAATTGGGGGCATTCCCATGCAGTTATATACAAGTCCCTTCTTATGAAATAGACATTCTTAAAACACTCCTAAAGCATTTCAGCAAGCTGGAGTCTCTGTGTTTTCTTTCTGTTTGGTGCTATGAGTCAATCTCCCCGTAAAATACTTTTAAAACTTGTGCCAATCACTCTTTCTATTTATTTATTTTTCATGACTTGCACATTACTGATGTAGGGAAGTTTATATGGTTCTGGGTTACACCTAGTAAGGTGATGTGACATTCCATATAGAATATGAGATATATTATACTATTCTTTAGATAGGAGTTTGTTTTGTGATACCATTGCTAGTCCCGCCTGCTCTCCGTCTGAGGAAAGTTATGTTATCTGCAGCACTTCAGATATTTTGGGCTCTCTGTTAAATCTACTGGAATCTCTCGGCCGTTGTATATGAACCTATTGGACCCTGTTTAGAAGAGTAAGTAATTACTGTATGTTCCTGGGGATTCTAATATAGACATTACATCCTGGCTTCAGAAATGCCAAAGCGGATTTTCACAGCATTCTCAGATTTTTGGAGGATGCCACAGAACGTTCCAATTAGATGTTGATTGCTAAACTAAGAAATTATTGAGATGGAAGCTATAAAGGTGGCTGTCAATGAACCCCTTGGGTAAGAGATGTACTTTTCTTAGATTTATTTTACTGTTGATAATTTGTTGTGAGTTTCTCTGCAGATTAATTGTATGTTTAAAGGTTTCAGTGGACTAGAACCTGACCTGTCTCGGCACATGTCTCTAAGTTTTGTTTAAATTAGGCACCGACTTAACCCTTTCTTTGGCACAATGGGGTTTTGGGGCTTTCCAATAGTCGCCCAAAATAATCAGCACCACCTGTTGGATACTTGTCAGAACCCTTGCCCTCTAGAACTGTGCAAAGACCTTATTGAACCTCCCCCACCAGGTAGCCCAAGGACCAGTTAAAGGTCCCAGGACGCAGAGTATTGAATATATTCTAAGTATTTAAATTTAACTAATACATTTAGCAGAGCACTTTAAATGCTAACCCGATTCCTCACATTGCTTTACACAAACTGCTGTCTTGAAAACATGGTGCATTTTTAACTTGACTGTATACTCTGCCAGTGTAAATAAGCCAAATCAAAGTCCTTCTAAGTGTTCACCAATAAAGATTTGTGAGCTTAATGTCTTGTTCTAGTGCAAGGACCAGGCAAATAAAAGGCTGTATATAATAAACAAGAGTTGTAGGCAAGCTTCAGCACTTCAGGTGTTGTGGACTAGATCTCCCGTAATGCTGGCAATGCATAATACTAAATCAAACAAGCCAAAAGTACATGTCTTTGTAAGGAACTAGGAGTCCGGTAGAGGAAAGAAGTAAAGGAAATAAAAGAAAATAAGAGGAGAAGATAAGGTAGTTAATGTGTGGAAAATTGGGGAGAAAGTAGACTATATAATGCAAGAGGAAAAACTGAGCTGGGGATTGTGTTGTCAAATTAAAGTATTCCTGTGAAGGATCCTGTATTATGAGAAACTGATTTATCATGGACAATCTTTCTCCACTGCGTTTTCAGTCTTCTTTATAACGATCACCAAAGTAGAGACCCGCGCTACATCCCACACTTCTTGTAGAGATAAGCCTGTTTTAGCCAACAATTTTTATTTTGCACCCTGTTAAGGTCAAAATGTTTAGAGATTAGGCTAATTGATGGGGTATAAAGGGATTGTAGTTTGAAATAACTGAGAGACTGTGTAACATTTTTCCAAAATTATGAATTTGAAGGGCAATACCACCATAGACGGACATATGTTCCCCTGGAGCCACAGACTATCCAACAAGAGTCAAGTTGCAACTTCTGAAATTTAAAAAGCCTTACTGGGGTTAAATTCGAGGATTTCATTTTTTAAAACATGGTTTGCTTCAAAGTCTTATGTAAAGGTTCATGAGTATGGGTTCCCGACCCCACGATGAGCTCCCTAACAATTTGCTGCCCCATGACCTTTTTTACAGTGTGTGATTTATGATTAATTATCTCTGGTATTTTGTTAAGTCCTTTGTTTGACCTTCAGCCTTGCCATATTTACACCACTCAAACAGTGGCTGCCCTGAGAGTATATCAGCCAAAGGAACATGTCAACTCTTAATATGGAAAGCCTATTTTTAAGACCCTTTTGTTATCAGAAAACCGTCAGTTAACTCACAGCTACAGCAATATCACTTTACAGACACTTCACTAAAGGCCCCCGGCCTTCTCGTTAAGTGATAAAATTCCTGTAAACAGCATTTATGGGAATCTGCGTAGCCCTTTAATCTCCCATTGGCTGATCAGGGTTTTGTACAATGTAAAAAAATACAGGAAAAAGTGCATGTTTAAAGCAGACTGTTAACTGCCGGTGTTAGAAGATAAACACCATCAGATGCATGGCCTGAAACCTGTCGTCTGCAGTGTTAATGTAGGATAGTGCCCTGGTCGTAACAGCTGCCCAGCAGGCATATCTTACAAAAGCTACATTTGGCCTGTACTACAATTCCGATGATGCTTGGAGTGCCCTTCATGAGGGGTTGAATATTCGATGCAAAAAAACATTGGAGTTGGCTTAAATCAGGAGTCCTCAAACTCCGGCCGCCCAGATGTTGCTGAACTAAAACTTCCATGATTCTCTGGCTATCTATGTAATTCAAAGACTCATGGGAGTTGTAGTTCAGCAACATCTGGAGGGCCACAATTTGAAGACCCCTGGCTTAAATTATGATTATGGTCCTGGTGTTAAGGAGTTATTTAGTGTAAAGGGAAGTTTAGATCACATATTAGAGAGGGTCTTTTAGTTAAAGGGACTCTGCTGTATATCTATGAGGAGGTGCTGATCGGGCAAAATGGCATTTGGCCCTGCCCCTTCTTGATTTTAGCCAATCCAATGCTTTCCCCAATCCATATATTTCTTTTATAAAAACTAGAGCACTCATGGATTAAATAAAGAAACTCGGACACAGAGAGCTGTATAGAAGCAAATCATAGAAAGTTTTTATTTGGTGAAACAGCCACCTTAATGTAAAATATCCCCCCTCACTCCGTTAGCTAGAGCATGTAATCTGTAGATCACTGTAAAAGCTCCTTCTGGTCTGGTATTCCTGCTTGCTGATTGTGATCTGTGCATGCTGGAGGTGCATATTACAAGCTCATTTCAAAGTTGCGTTTCGGCGAGGGGGGTCACAGAGTGATCAAATAATTTTAACTTTGAGCTGAATTACCTCCTCCTTGCAAATATGGGGGAGCCAACGCCCCCTGGTTCCTGTGCTCCATGGGTAAGCTCACCTATTCGGCCCACAAAAGCTGGTATATGATGGCTTGTGTGTCTCTGAAAGCGACACTTTCCACGCCTGGAGGCAAGACAAATGTAATTGTAATCTAATTAAGTTGCATTGTTCGCTTTGTTCTTAATTACAGTATGTATAAAAGTTAATTACTAGGTAGTGAAATAACAGAGATGGGTGCGACTTATACGACGTGATCCGGGCCTGGTGAATGATTTCCTTGGTTCTGTGGTTCACTTCAGTTAACTAAGGATCAATTTGAAGCTTAATGCAGAAACTCTAATCATGAAAATGTCAGACTCCCTTTACTCTGCAAAGAATTAACATAAGATTCAAGTACTTGCCAAAATTACCACCATTTCTTGAAGCTCTTAAGGAAGCTTTCCTGATGTTTTGAATGGGGCAGCAGTGTTAGCTTGCCATACTTGTCAACAATTAGTCATAATTGGTCATAGCTCCTGCAGTGGGTGTTGCTTCTTTACCTTCTTTAAGAACTGCTAGGAACGTATACAACTGTGTTGGCCATCATATCTATAGGAAAGGGTACAATGGTGTTGCCCCTCATAGCTATAGGAACGGATGCAACTGTGTTACCCATCATAGCTAATGGAACGGATACAACAGCGGGACTCATCATAACTACTGGAATGGGTACAATGACTTCAACAATCATAACTACAGGAACAGGTACAATCAGAGCTACAGGAACTGGTACAATGGCGTTATCCATCAGAACTAAGAAAATGGGTATTCTATCACAAACGACATGGAACCCCAAACCCTTCATTGAAATACATCATTGAGAAGAAGTTGTTTGGGTGCCTATAATGCCATTTTCATCATGCTGATCCTGTGAGCTCAGTGTGCAGTAACTGCAATGCAATTTCCAATTTCCATCGTTGGGATTGATGAAGTTCAAACTCTGTGCACATCTTTATGCCAAATTCTGTCATGGAATATGGAAGAGTCTGCGACCAGATGGGTCCTTTACATCCTGCAAGCAAATGTCATTATTTTTAATGAGCTTTAATGATCTGTCAGCTCTACGATTGCACCCGGAGACCGGGAGGCATAGAATTTGCTTGATAGAAGAGATTAGCAATATAATGGAAAGGATTAAACGATGAAACATCTCACATTTTTAAGCTGAAGAAACAAGATTTGTTTTGTAGCGTTCAAGCTTAAGGAAGAATTAAATAATAATTCATTTTCTAAGAGCATTGCAAATACTCCCGTACATTTCTCTAATGTCAAACCATGGAATTTAGAACCATAAAAATGTACCCGTTCCTACATTAGTAATCGCATTCACACCCTGTGTGGCTGGCATGCAGCAGGAATCCTGATTGTTAAAGTTTTGCTGTTCCAGTGCTATAGGGCTGTGCAACACAAATCATTGCTTGCTTCTCAGGTCTTTAAAGGGTTAAATGTCAACAGATGATTCAAATAAGGTCGATTCAGCCAATTCCAGCAAAAGGAGCCATGTAATTTGGTACAGAGGTTACCGGTACCTAGTTTATCCTTGTTTCGGCACCCAAATAATATCAATCTAAATGTATACATGCATAACTAAGTGTATCCCTATCACAGCAGCTTTATATACAAATGGTAATATCCAGGAAATAAATAGCCGTATCAGTAAATAATTACCATTTTTTCCGAGAGATCTTAGTGCAGTAGTGTATATAGTGCTATTGTAGCAACCTGCTTCTTAACTCCATGACAGACATGTATCATTGTAAAATAATAATAATTTTGTAAGATTTGTCTAATTTTATGTCCTAATGCTGGTCTGTACCCTAACATGCTGTTTTTAGCTTTTATTGTGTGGAAAAGGCTCCTCCTGTCTGAATATCTATCTGTAATACCTGTCATGGTGGAGCCTCCACTGACACTGGGAGCCTGCGTATACAGTTGGGTCCGATAATATTTGGACACTAACACAGTTTTCATAATTTTGGCTCTGTACGCCACCGCAATGGATTTGAAATTAAAGCAACATGCAATTGAAGTACACACTTTCAGCTTCAATTTAAGGGGTTGATCAAAAATACCGGATGAAAGTTTAGGAATTGCAAACTTTTTCATACACAGTCCCCTTACCTCCGGGCCACAAATGTAATTGGACAAATTAACACAACCATAAATAAAATGTTACATAGCTGAAAAGAGACTTGCGTCCGTCAAGTTCAGCCTTCCTCACATGTGTTTTTGCTGTTGATCCAAAAGAAGGAAAAAAGCCGTGTCTGAGGCACTTCCAATTTTGCAACAAACTAGGAAAAAATTCCTTCGTGACCCCAAACTAGCAGTCAGATGTCTCCTTGGATCAAGCAGCTATTACCC